TTTTTGTTTGAAATTTTTCCCCGCTAAATTTTTTTTTTTTTTTTTTAAATTATCTGTTCTTCTCTATCCTCTGTTGTCCTTTTTTTTTTCTTCTTTTTTTGACGTTTTACATGGGAAACTTCCTCATCTTTTGCTTTCGTCGCCCCCCCCCCCTCCCCCAAAATCCCTCTTGTGATAATTCTTTAATGACTTCATAAAGTGACCAGATTGATCGATGACAGAAAATTTGCGACACTTCAGTCACAATGGTTCGTGACGTCACACTAATATCAGACAATATTGACAATACACATGTAACGCAAACGTGCAATCTATTTTATCAACAGTGTGAGAAGCAATTTCATATTGATGTTGAATTGATCCATTCTAATCCAGCTTAGATCATCACACACTAGCCAAGCATTCCGATGTGATTGGCCTGTGAATATTCCAATGCTAATTACTTAAAGAAGGAAGTGATTGTGTTAAAATCAATTACCTTGAACGAATTATTGTATAGCCCAGTAAGTGAGGAGTGTTATTTAAAGTGGAGATCAAACGGAACTTTGAAGAAAGCTTGTTCATATTTACACGCAAGGTGGGATATTTCGAAGCATATTCCATGTTCCTTTTATGTCAGGCGAACCAAATAAACACTCGGAATTTCTTAAATGTAATTTGAGTTGTTACAAATGTATACGTTTTACAAAGATACGAGTTATTTTTTTTTTTAAATAATAATAATTTATTATAAATTTATAACGAAAATAAATGTCATTACAAATCTATTTTATTACAAATGTATAAAGGTGTTACATATTTTGAATTTTGTTACACTTATAAGTTTAGATCGATAGAACATTTTTAAGAAACATTTTTTTTTTTAAAGTTTAACTAAACATACATTTCCATCTTTCTCAAATGACACAATGCCACTCAGAGTAACGCAGGTTTTTAAAAAAAAAAAAAATTCTTTTGACTGTACTATTGTAGCTCTTTCAAGTTTGACTTACTTTTATGTAACACAATGTTAACAGTGTTGATCCAATTAAAGATTATCACGTGACAAGCTAAATAAATTACCATGCCGCGTTGAGAAGACACAAGCATAAACTCCTTGGTAAACATGATTATCACTTTCTGTAGCCCGGTCCTCTAGCCACAAACTACTGGTAAACATGATTATCACTTTCTCGTGCCCGGTCCGCTAGACTCAATCTCCTGGTAAACATGATGCAGTTTTCTTGCCCTTGGTTCACATTGTCACAAAACACTGAGGTGTTCCATGAAAAAAATTATTACATTTTAAATGTCACAATCATCAGATTTAAACATGTTATCAACTTATTTGATATGTTTGGAAAAAAAAGAGTTAAACTTTATAAGACAACAAGTATACATACAAGTTAAACTCGGTATGTTCGTATGTAGTTTTATATTGTTGCGTCTGTTTTTTAAATGTGGTAAATTTTAGATTGTTTTTATTTCTCTTTTTAATATGGTTGACTTTGTACCGCGCTTCGAGCTTTTGGGGATGAAACGTGTTTTTCAAGTAAACTTTATTATTATTATTATAAGTTTTTTAACCGTTTGTGACGTAGTACACACACACACAAAAACTGTGGTTTTGTTTAGAGACAAGATGGCGGTAGATTTTTACCTTATTGCGTTAGATTTTATTTGTTTTAAGCGAATAAAAGAATATTAAATGTTATTATGTGGAGGAACTGTATAGAGTGTCTTAGATGTAACAGCTTGGCTTCTGCCCAGAAGGTGTTCATGACAATATATTTCGACCTCTTATTTTTCATTTCGTTGTTGGAACCTTCTAAGCAGATCAATTTATTTATTAAATAGAGTATACCTTTAAAGTAGATTTGTGTATATTATTATCACATGTCCGTTGTTTTAAACATAACACCAAAGATGATAAAATGTACCTACCATAGTCTATACCAGTGGTCGGAAAATCGCGGCTCTCTAGCCGCATGTGGCTCTTTAGTCAGAGCCGTTATTAGGAGTTTGGGGGCCCTAAACATGGAGCGTAGTTTGGGGGCCCCGGAGGGGGGGGGGTCCGGGGTGGAGCTCCCTCGAGCTGATGAGAAAACACCACCCACCACTGCGGCACCTCCATTCTGCCTTCATCAATGTTTCCTCTTTCCCATTCCCACGGCCAAGCTCCCGATTTCCTGTCTGCCACCCCCAAAGCTCCCCCACTGCTGCTTCCCTTCCCATGCCTCCGAATTCAACTCAGAATGATAAATTTCAGGATGAGAAAGGTAACGTGAGTGACACAGACGGCTGCAGTGCTAGCTGGGTGCCGAGTCTAAACTGAACAAATCTCAAGTTGCTGGTCTGGAGTTCAATTCCAGCAAAAGCCCAGTCAAGTAAAAAACATCACCAGCACCCCGGGTAGATGGCACTTGTTATCCTTGGATGGCACTTCATCTAAGAGAAGGTAACTCTGAATTCAACCCCGGAGATAGAATCCTGTATGTGGATAACATTGATACAATGAAACATTCCGACAACTCCTGCGACGTCACTGGTGCCAAGCTGTATCATCCACATGATGTTCGCTTGGGCTTATCCAGCGGCGTGGAGAGAGGCGATTTGCTGTTGGGGACCAGCTGATAATCCTTGAAGAATAATCCCAGGCCATGTGGATTTCGTCCTGCGAAGTCTTCACCATCGTCACATTGTGACGGACGGAGGCCAGCAAAAATAAAAATTAACCAAGCCTAATACAAATGGTAATTATCAAGGTCGTGATATGGACATCATGTTTATTTTCTTTTAGTTGAGAAAAAGAATCGCACTTTTTGGATACTCATAATTATAACACAGGCGAGCGCATCTTACTAAAGAAAGTACTAGCAAAGTCATCCGTCCAAATCTAAAGTCAGACTTTTTCCACTGACTCTCTCGCTCTCTCAGAATACTTCACCTGTCGATAGGATGGAGTGGAAATAGCCATAGAAATGTAATATTTGAAATACATCTCTATTTATATCCTGACGCCGATTTTGTGCAGTACGGGTAAGGTTATTACATGAAATGTAAGGTAAATGTGTAGTTAACGGCATGGATGTTGCCAAGAGTTGTCTCACTGTAAGCGCAGTGGTAGGAGGCACGCCTTTGTTTATTACCCGCCTTCGTGCAGTGGTAGGAGACACGCCTTTGTTTATTACCCGCCTTCGTGCAGTGGTAGGAGGGACGCCTTTGTTCATTACCCGCCTTCGTGCAGTGGTAAGAGGCACGCCTTTGTTTATTACCCACCTTCGTGCAGTGGTAGGAGGCACGCCTTTGTTTATTACCCGCCTTCGTAATAAATAACAACCATCGTTCCCTCGGATCTAACCTTGACCTCGATCCGTGTCACACAGCTGTATTGTGTTGTGTGTTACCATCTTAGAAGGACTGACCTCTTACAGGTATTTAAACATCAATATCTATATTCTTAGAAATATTCATGTGAAATTAAATCCTTTTTACCAAATATATCTATTTATTCATAGTAGTATTTGGTAGGAAGTGCTTTATGAACGTATCTGCGCATTCATGGGCGTGCTCTAAGGACGACCTCATTAAGTTTCTTCCTTCGCAGGCTTAAGTGTGTTACTAAAGTCTCATGAGGAGCAAGTAAGCAGGGATATTTCCTTTAAAGCAGTTAACACGTTTGAAGTATCGATAAAACCAAGCGTGTAGCGTCTATTCAGTGCATGTTAACTGTACAACACAGCCACACAAGACTTCTCACGGAAAGTCGATCTTGTTAAATGGCAAATCGTATAAACATTAGATACAGTTACCTAAAGTAAGTCCTTTTCATTTGTCATTCTTCAATTTCTAAGGAATCGCTAAATCGAACTGATATTTATTTTTGGTCCCAAAATAATCTACCCTGTATAAATTCTCTATTATTTATTTATTTATATTTTTTGCAATCCGTCGTCTTACGATTAATTGATTGTAAGATGTTCGCTGCCAATTGACAAAATCACAAGGCTTGCACGAAAGTTGTCTTTTAAATTATTTTTTTTTAAATATTTTTTATGGAGAATAAGCTGGTTGCTAGATCATCACGATTGCGAATGCTTACTAACACAATTGAAATATGCCCTTTTATAAAACAATTAACACACTTTAATTACGCCCTTTCGTAAATAAAATAAGTGACTTTAAAGGATCTAATAATCCACATGCTACTTCGGTGCAGACAGTTTACATCCTATTTTGCCTTATCAAACCTTTAACTCAGTTAAATCGCAACAAAGGGGCAACACGATTTTAAAGTATTTCATTTAGCCATAAACTAGAACTATATTTTTTTAAAGTAGCGTGACGCATTTGATGTCTCTCATTTCAGGTAGAACGGACAATATGCCTATTATAAAAGTAGAGACAAACATTGAGGCCAGCAGGTTTCCAACTAATTTTCATGTCCATTTCACTGCCCTTGGGTCAGAGTTGCTTCAGAAGCCACAGAAAGTAAGCAATTGCGTCACAACCGGTATTTGAAAACGAGAGCGGCACTTACCGAGCTGTGTAACAGCATTCATTTTAGAAGTCCGTTTACCTACTGACTGATATTAAATGCTAATTTTTCTTTGATTATTTTTAGAAATTATTTTTTTTAAATGTTTGAATGAATTTCGTACTTCGACCTATTATTGTCCCACTTTCAATTCTCTTTATTCAAGGTCATTTGGGTGGTGCTAGAGGCAGACAAACAGCTCACCATGGGCGGCACCAATGCGCCTACAGCGGTGGTGACAGTTGAGTGTATCGGACGGCTAAAGCCCGAACTCAACCTCGCCTTCGGCACCAAGATTGAAGAGTATTTCAAGGAATTTCTGGCCATCCCCAGAGACAGGTAACTAGACACTTCCTCGTATGAAATAACCATAACATTTTAGTCAAACACTATTGTAAAATGCGTGATTATTAGTGTGTTGGTAGGACGTGGCTGCTTGATACTTTTTCTGCAACATTTAAAAAAACAAAGCCCATATGAATTTTTTTTTTTTTCAATTTGATTGTGACAGAATCGTGACGAGGTTTGTGTCAGTGCCAGCTTTGTTCTGTCAGTACGACGGCAAACTTCACGATATTGGCGTACAGTATGATCAGGATCTGTAAACAGATGCAATCTGCAAAATAACTTTATATACCATTTTGTAGTTTTTACTGTTTGTATGACATACATCTGGAACTATATATATATATATATATAATATATATATTATATATATATATATATATATATATATATATATATATATATATATATATATATATATATATATATATATATATATGTGTGTGTGTGTGTGTGTGTGTGTGTTACCTTTTCATCGTAAATCAGTGTTAAATCTAAAACAAAATTTGGACAATGATCTTTTCAATGTTTACATAAAATAGCAATGCAATGTGCTCATCTACACTAACCGGAATATAAACAATATAAACAAATAATACATCTCAAATCACAACACAACCAAAGAGTTGTTACGAAAAGGGACATGTATGAACCAACTTTATTTTATTTACCTATTCTCAATAGAAAAGTATTTGTACAAGAAAAAAGAACTAAAATAAATAGGGCTAAATGTTATTTACATTGTCATTATTATGTTTTTCCTTTTTTTCTTTTTTTTTTTCTTTTACTTGTTTAAAGAAAAAACTGGCCAACAAGCAATACGTATAATAATGTTACAAATAAAATATCACAATTCTCAATTTGTTAACCAGAATTGTTTGGTTTGATTTACTGATACCACATTTAAAAAAGGAAATACGTTGTTATAATACTAGAAATAACCCGTCATACAAAGGCGTCGGCGATGCGTGAACTGCCCATCGATTCAATTTAATTGGAAAACAATATGCATTCAAGCAACGCACTTTATAAGGATTCCAATTAGTGCACTTCTGGGAATGTGTTAGCTCTTTCCAGACATCTAGAGCGCCATATCAACTCTTAATAGACATCTAGACCACTGTGCATGGGCGCCCGCAGAAAACTTTCTAGGGGGGGGGGCAAAAAAAGCGATTAACTTTTCAGGGGGGGGGGGGCAAATATTTTTTAGTAATGTTTTAATGTAGTTTTAATTTACTGTAGCGTATTTGTATGGTGAACGAACGAAAAAAATCGATTAACCTTCCAGGGAGGGGTAAAAATTTTTTAGTAATGTTTCAATATGTTTTTAATTTACTGTAGCGTATTTGTATGGTGAACGAACGGACAGGACATCAGCTTAGTTACTTTCTCTTTATTTTCTCTTTACTTTAATACATTTTTTGTCTATTTTTGTCTAAAATTTGTTTATCCAATCAATCCAGGGGGGGGGGGCAAGTGCCCCACCTTGCCCTTACCTGCGGGCATCCATGCCACTGTGTTAGCTTTTGACCCGCAAATTAATTGAGTAATCCATACACATGTTAAGACTCCGTTGTTAGTAAAATAGAAATTCAAACACAGAAATGCAATTGATCCTAAGTTATGTTTTTTAAAAGTACCATCTTTATGCAATGGTTCGTTGTTATGGTTTAGGTAGTTGGTGAGCTGCAGAGAGATAGATGAAGCAAGAAGGCACGCGCTGAGAAGCTTCTTGTTGAAGAACGAACCATATCAAATATTTCATCTTGGTATTGCCACTAATTGCCCCTAGACAAAAGGAATCTATTGAAATACTTAATAAAATAGTATCACCTAACATTTTCCACACAAAAAACACACCAAAAAAATAAAAAGCTATAAATATGATACGCCTGATCCATCAGCTTACTCCATAAGTAGTCAGAGAATGGTCATAGGCGACCTTCTGTGTGTTGTACTTTGACCTCCTGGTACTCGTGATAATCACTGTCCGTCGTCCTGGCAACGTTTTCATAATGACCACCTGAAACAGACACCAGGTAAATGTCAGGTTTGAAAGCAACAAGTTCTATTCGTTGGACAACATTCCCGTGAAACTCTAAACACTGTTTACCCACATATTAGATGTGTCCTCCATTATTTATTGCCTAATCAATTGTAAGACACAAGAAACAAAAAAAGTTAACATCTGTGTCACTAGTTTAAAAAAGGGACGCGTATAATTTTACACTTAACGTAATTTAAAAAAACAAAAAAAAGAAAGTAAAAATGTTCAAAATGAATTGAACAAAACCAAATTAGCGAGAAGGTAGGAGAAGGGGGACAAGCCATTCACGTCGCAATTCAATAACTTATTTGAGTTATCCCTTCATAGTTATCTCGCTGTAATGAGATGAGCCTTTATGAAGCGCTGCCTTGTGTGTTGTCTTCACACACATACACACACACAAACTGTCTTTATAATAATGGCTTGGTTTATACATTTATTTCATTTTCGAATCTTAGAAACTTGAACTCAACACATCTTAAACCCTTCCTTTTGTTCTTGTGGTTATAATAATAATAATAATAATAATAATAATAATAATAATAATAATAATAATAATAAAGTTTATTTCAAAAACACACTTCATCCCCAAAGGCTCGAAGCGCGGCACAATGTAAAAAAATTTTAAAAAACCTATAATTTACCACATTTTAAAAAAAACCGCAACACTACAAAAACTAATTACAAGCATACAATGCCAAAGTCTTTCTAGCCATTTCAACCCTAAGCAACACAGCCAATATGCATTAACTGGAAAATATGGTAGACAATTATCCCAGAAGGTTATGAACAAATGGTCATCGATTTTCTAAGATCTCATTTGATCTCTTGATGTCATATTAAGAATTGCAATAATATATCTATGGCATTTAAAGGTACTGGTCTTTGTGTTCCGTGTTAACGTGTTGTCCAACAAAGTATTTTTAGTGCTACAACAAAACCAAAAAACAAACAAAAAATACAAGTAGCCATTTTCCAACATCGCTAATGAAAATTTTGACAACAATACATTTTCAACATTTCTGCTCAAACTAAAATCTTACGTGTGTGTCGACCGTCACTGACACTGGGCTGTGTCACGTCTGTGGAGTAGAAAAGTATGTTCCATTTGGTTTTGTTGTTGAGATTTAGTGTTGTTGTTTTTTTAAATTATTATTCTACAAGTCGCAATGGTTCGTGCTGTCCTGCGGCGAATGGGTAGAATTGCCGTGAACATGTGCTCTTTAAATGCTTAAAATTGTTTAGTAATTTTTTTAGTCCCGGCGTTCCCACAGTGTGCGCCGTTCAACCCTTGGGAAACGCGGCTTCACCACAGGAAACCTAGATTCAGCAAGGGCGCCGAGAATCGAACCATTTTGCTAAACACTGATCCACTCCATGCAATTCGTGTAAACAACACAATCAGTAGAAGATATGGCCGTTCATGGATATGAGACGAGAGACTAAGGTGGAAGTTTCTGACCGATGATTTTATTTACGCAGCCTTGAGAAACCTGCTCTTAGGCAACCGTTTCGTCCCAGGTACTTCGCAAACTAGTTGCGTGGTGAAAACCCGCTGTAGAAACCGTCTTATAGGTCGTCCAACACTTCCCCGGGACTGGTGTGGGAAGATATTAGGACGTACATTTACCATCTCGACTCCTAGGAAAGTCGATCGTGTGCACTGTGTGTACGCACAGTGTCGGACCGACCGGGTGTCCTTGGGTTGGGGCGGCCTCCAGCGGAGCCCGATCAACAGGGACATCTCCAACGTCCGACTTAGTGGGCCGATACTCGGGCTTAGGGTTGGGGTGGGGGGGGGGTGGACTGCTTTGGGGAAGGCATAAGGAGCTTTACCTTGACGGCCCTCTGATACCGTTTCCTAAAGTGATATTTCAGTATAGAAGATATAAACTATTAGTGATTCGCTTCGTACAAGGGGGGTGGGGGGGGGGGGGGGGGGGGGGGGGGGGGGGGGGGGGACTGCTTTGGGGAAGGCATAAGGAGCTTTACCTTGACGGCCCTCTGATGCCGTTTCCTAAAGTGATATTTCAGTATAGAAGATATAAACTATTAGTGATTCGCTTCGTACAGGTGTGATGTCACCACATTTCAAACTAATGAGGTAAAAACTCACCATATTCACCACCTCTTGAATAATGATGACCTTGATCCGTGCCACCATGATCTGTGCCACCATGATCTGTGCCACCATGATCTGTGCTACCACTATTAGTACTCCTTTCAACGCTTGCCACGATGGAGCTTAAATTGTTAATCTGAAAGCGTTCAGTCTGGTGTAGGACGTTCTTATGCTTGCCGTTGGGTCCATCTGTTCGAATATTATCAAAATCCATTTGTAAGTATTGTTGAAAAATGCGTGAGGTTAGCAATCAAATACTACCAACACAAAAAAAATATTCATTTTTTTTTAGAAATATAAATTAATCGCAAATGAACCATTTACAACAATCGTGTTAAAAAAAATTAAATATTTACCATTCCGTTGGACTTGGGATGAGTTTCTGAAAAATAAAAAAATAAATAAAAGCTATATTTGAATTTATGAATTAGAAAGAACAAAAAAAAAATTGAAACTCCCTGCATTCAAACCAATCAATTCACGTTTTAATCCTATACTGCTTAGTGGACTGTAAACATTTCAGAAATATTTAGATAAACCAATAACGGACAAAAAAATCACAAGTCATTAAAAACAGTTGTTTTATGGGTAGGGCTTGATGGGTGGGGCTTGATGGGTGGGGCTTGATGGTTGGGGCTTGATGGGTGGGGCTTGATGGTTGGGGCTTGATGGGTGGGGTTTGATGGGTGGGGCTTGATGGGTGGAGCTTGATGGGCAGTGCCTAGCTTTAAAGGTGTGGCTGAGAATTTTGTATGAAATAGTCTCATCGTGGGAGCCTCACTAACATAGAAAACATATAAAGGTCAAACTTGACTCACTTTTATTATTTTTTTTTTTTTAAATCTCAGAACACTTTACCTTGTTAATAAAAGTATGCGAGTCTTCAAGTATTAACACAAGAAGATATTTTTTTTTAAAATCATCTTATTTGATGAGGTAAGTATCCATGCAAATTAATTTTGTATGAGATTATATCATGAGATAGTAGCATGCGTCCTACTCTAAAGGTAATGTGCCCCAACAATATCGGAGCTTAAGATGCCGTTGACAGTCCACCAACACGCGCACGTCAAGTTAATTAAGGAAATGATTTGAACAGAGCGGGTATACCCGTTACCCCACCTGCACCGACAACGTCGCTACGTTATTAAAGGGATTAGTTTCTTTAAACAGGAT